CAACACCAGGCCCCCGCCCCAGCCTACTTAGACCGCTCCGTGGCCGCCCCGCACGCCACCCCGTGCGCCAGTCCTACCGACGGTCGCGCATGCCAGCCCAGGAACGAGCTCTTACTCCTCATCCAAGCCATAGCACAGTCCAGGTCGGTCAACTAGACCGACCGCTCACTCAATCAGAAAAATCACATGGGCGCCTTAAAATTGCACGCCCACATACCCTCTAACTTAGCCAGGGCGGGTCCCGGACGCGATCGTGCTTCGCACGGCTTATTTCGACCAAGCTCATTGTTCCCTTTCATTTGTAAAAACCAGGGCGGATACCCTTGTAAGGGTATTCGCGCCGACAGCCTACCGGACTATATTAAGTGACGTCCCCGTCGCTACGCCAAATCAGAGGCTATAAATTCATCCACACTCCAAATGCTCACGAGAATGGAACCAATCCGATTAGCCGAGAGACTCAGGGTTGAGGCCTCCAACAATTATGTGTCAACATAACTATATGCCGCCAGGGTTTTAACCTGGGTTTCCAACGTCCTGACATTAGGATGCCGGTGTATTACGCATCGATACTACAACATAAGTTCTAAAGGCCACCTCAAATAGTCCTCTTCCCTTCGTCCTAGGCAAACGCCGGCTTCTCATTGAGTGTCCCCGTTAGACTCTCTCTCGTGCGCAGAGTCATACGGGGACACGGGCGTTAGACGAAATCTCATAAGGCACTCTCGCCTCCCTCGCAAAAATCCTCACAATCAAACACACATATATATATACATAAATCTCCCCTCGGCTCTTTCTGCAGTCTAGTACAGAAACGCTAGGTCTCCATCCTCGCCCACCATAGTCTGGTTGATCGAGCCAGATCTACGACCTACCTCGTTGTTATCTTAGCGGCAGTCCCTTCGTTGGTTATGCAACGATAGGTTTTCTCCTGATAGGCATTCAATCAGGGCGCCCAAACGACTCGACTCGTATCCCCTGCCATTCCACAAGCGTAATTTCGATTGGGGCGTGCATAACCTCTTAAACTCTTACTCTGCTGGTAGACGTGGGCCCGCAGCCAGGTTGTGCTGGCTTGCAGCCATCCAATAGGGGTTGCGCCCTAGAGGTGCTAACCTTTACCGTTTAACTTGGTATTCCCTAATATGCCTTAGAATCAGCACATGTGTCTAGGCGGTGCGTCGCAAAACAACTCACAGGGCCACTGCGGGACAACGCAGGGACCTGCCCTACTTTTAAGGGTATTTACCAGCCCCCTATGGGACAATATAGAGGGCACGACCCCTTCTCACAATCACAAATAATTTCACCGCTAGGCTCGCACGAGGCCGTGGCCTACTGACTTGATCAAAGACAGCAGACCACACATCCCACGACATCTTTATGCACTGACTTGCGACCTTCTCAATTCCACCAATGATTCCAACTCGTAACCCTGGTTCCTCTCGTCAGACTTTATCATTCAAACATTGCTTACCATGTCCTTAAATCTATCACCAATTTTTCACATGAAGGGGGCCTCTCTCAACAGGTCTCCCAGCCACCCCTCTCTTTACAGGATGGACTATCACGCGACCTGGGTTACACTGCTGTCAATAAACAACATCCCCACCTTCCATAATCCGAGGGGGTATCAATTATAGAACAGCTCAACTGAGGGGCCTTCTTATGGGCCGTCTCCCCAACTTAAACGCAAAACAACTCAAACTAAGGGGCCAACTTATGTGTCTCCTTCATAGCTCAGCCATAAACATTCGGCATGGTAAGCATCCGAGCCTTATAGGCTCGCAAGACCCCTCAGGGTCCTCATACATCTGTCACAAAAACGACCGCACTGCCTCCTCTTATACCCGGTCGTTTCGCCCGCTCATGGGCAGGCCGCACGAGTATTCCGAAGAGTAGACGACAATCACAATCACACAATACACATACATGAGATGTATCCCACACATCTCTCACACAAAGCCCCCATTCATTGGGATAAAGCCACACTTGTGACAGTGATCGTGATCGTCACAAGAATAAATCCCACAGAGTCTGGAATCAAAGATATACTCGGGAGCAAAATACCTCCCTCAAGTCTCAATACGACATTCAACTCAAACCCTCAACACACAACTTGTAGGGTATATTTGGGAACAAAATGCCTGCCCCGAAAACACTCAAATGCTCACTCCACTGTCTCACTCCGCAGGATAAACTCACGTCCCAAGTGTCATGAACTCTCAGAACCTACTCAAAGATACAAGTAAGAGTATCTGAATCACACAACTGAAAATGCAAGTCACGTATGTCGTAGATATCATACAACTAAGTCTCATCCCCTAGACCGTATCACACATAAAGCTCAAGCCGATCACACATCGCCACCTATGTATATATAACTAGACGGGACTCGCCTGACTAACTCAGAGTATGTACTCCCCTATCACGGCCTCTGCGTACAGAGGAGCTCTAATCCTACTATCATATAGACGGACCAGCCCCTACTCACTCATAGCCTCCTGGTTCTGTCTATATAACTATTCCCTTCTCCCATCTGGAGCCCGCTCTACCACTCGCCCCTGCCTGTCGTACATTCTCCCACCACTCTCTGTTACTCTCCCAGCCCCCTTGGCCTTGGTTTCCTCCACCGGCCACACTGACCTGCGAGGCCTGTTTGGAGGGAGGTGGTTGGACCACAAACTGACCTTGGGCCGCAGGGTAGTTTGGGGGCCCCATACTTGCCGCTGGGCCGCATAAGGGACCATTTGCCCGAGCTGAGTCTGACTACCCCCGCACGAGGCGCAGTGATTACAACTGGGCCAGAATGTAGGTTGACAATGCGACACCCAATGCCCACAAGCCGGCGGCGGCCCATACACGACGGCCCGCCCGTCGCTGACGTTGTCGTGGCAGCAGGTGGAGGCGCAGCAATCGCTTGCGGGACCTGCCCTTTTCCGGATCCTTGACCCCCCACTTGTAAATTTCGTTGCTTCCTCTGGGCCTTGGTTAGGATCTGGGAGCCCGTCTCTTCTCCGCCATAGTCCTCGCGCCTAGCCTCCTTTTCCACTGCCCCCGACGCCCGGCCTTGGGCCACGGTCACCCCCGTCTTCTGCACTTCCGCCTCATTATCATACCCCAACGCTGCCAATACGTCCGTGACGATTCTCTTCACCCCTGGGGTCCCGGACGCGCTGGCGTCCCTTTCCTTTCTCTTGCGCCTTTGCAGCCGCACCTGGTGCTGCTCCACCTGGTCCAGGCTCCCCTCTTCCACCCCTTTGTCGATAGTGACCCAGGTGAGTTTCTCATTTCCCCCTCCGTGACCCGTCAGCTCCGAGGCCTCCGAGCCAGTAAGCAGACCCAAAAATATGGCACACTGCGTTTCTTCGGAGATCCCGTGCCCCTTCCGCGCCTTCCTTTTAAACTCGTGCACAAACGCCCCAATTGTGGAGAAGTCATCCTTGTTCATGGCCTCCAAATCCGCCATGGTTAGCAAGCCATCCCCCAACCTGTACTTTCTGTGCATCATGTCCCTGAACCTCGCCCAACTACCATTGGCGGCATCCACGACCTTGCCCACTTCCTGATGGTGGCTATGAAGGACATACCTTAGGATTCGCTGGAGCTTGACCTCGTCCGACAGCCCCACCAGTGCCTGCTCCGTCAGGTCCAGCCAGTCGGACACCTGTTCTCCCTTGAAGTGGAAAGTATCAACCTTCGGGACATTGCTCGGCGCCCTCTCGCACTTATCCAGAGCATCGATGAGGTCGTCGAGCGTTACAAGCTTCCTCCCTCCATCCGCCATCTCCTCAGGCATTTTGATTAACCGCCTTCGGCTTCAATCCCCCTGTTGTAAGAAGCGATAGGACGAAAGGTTCCACTCAGTAGTCCATTCCTTCATGATCCTACCGGACCGACCAGCTAAGCACCCGACGTTCCGGACCTGGCAGACATTTCTCTCTCTACTTCCTACCTCCCTTGGGTTCACCTAAGCAAGGCCCATTCTCATCACAGAATTCACTCACATACTTGCCTCGTTCATGCCATCAACCAAACCACCAATCAGATCAACATTCATACCCACACAGCCTTATAGACTACTATACGACCCATGTCATAGTTCTTCTCCTATTTGCTCACGTGCCTAGTTCTCTCTCATTCTCATATTACCCGGATGTCGTTCCGCCAGGGACAACGGTAGGCTTCCGTTATCCCGGCAACGGCGCCACCTGTCGGGCGCATCTGTCCGACACCGCACGTGGCAGCGCGGGACCCTCTCGGCCGTGTCACGCAGGAGTTGGACCAACCTCGTCGCGAACACACAAATGGGGCTTCCTTAGGCCACTCCGCCCGAGTGCGCCAGCCATACCTCTCGCGAGCCCCTACGACAGGATAGGGCCTACGCGAGGCATAACTTACCTCCACCTTACGGGAGTTGTCACCTCCCATCGGTGGGCGTATCCCCGCCGAGCTACCAGTCCACAGTACGAAAGCTACTCGGTTGCAATCGGAGAGGTGGACCAGCCGAGGGCGTTTCTCATTCGCTGTAGCATAGGGGGTACTCGCGGTAATACGCCTATCGGACCCGCACGCAGGCCGACATCTTGGGGGGCTGAAGTCCCTAGCGTGGCTCGACGTCGGTCGACTAGGACGCATCCCACACAGCACGCGCACACCACTCTACGAACACGAAGACAAAACATACGCGCGCGCACACATTGCACAAACGACACAACACGAACAACGCAACAACGCTCCAAGTCCCTCGGTAGCCAACCCATAACTTTCCAATGCGGAAATCGAATAGGCGTCGCGCGCGAGACTTAGTACAAGACCGCGCGGACGTAGGGCTAACTCATATCGACTCGCTATGCAAACGTACGCAAGCAGTCGCAATGATGGCGTACTATGTCGTGCCCATAATCGTGCGGCCCTCGTTAATTTCGAGGGTCGCATTCGACACTCAAGTGTCGGCTGACACACGCCTTGAGGGTTAATCTCTCGACGCTGGACAACCGCCGTGCGCGGTTGGAGACCGCACCCTCTTCTGCACCCTGTGCAGAGGGGTTGAGTAGACAGTTTTAAGCTGTCGTGACGGTTGAACATCAAGGGGTTTGACTTTGACGGCCGCCACGGACTATAACGTCCAACCATGAAAACACAAAAAGGAGACTCACTCCAACCCCCATTAGCTGATGGCCCTCTAAATGGAAAGGCGGTGGATAAACCCAAACGACGCGCGTGCAGAGGAGGTCCGGTATCCTATCCATAGGCTACCCGGCGTCCGAGATAATGAGGCCCGTACACGGACCGCCAAAGGCTCACCGGGGCTAGTCCTCCGCCCACGTGCCGCTTCACGTTACCAAGACCCCAAGTTTACTGGCCGTGTCGCGCTCCTGATCTCGCCGCCCGACCCATAACTCTTTTAGTGCGGGACGCAACGTTTGTCGCGCGCGAACTTAGTATAAGATCGCGAGGGCGCTGGACTTACACATACTATATCGCTATGTAGTTCTACGCGAGTAACTGTGATGACGGCGCATTGTGTAGTGCCCACACCCAAATGGCCTCCTCTGAGCCAAGGGGTCCCCTCTCGACGCTCAAGCGTAGGCTGAAGCGCGAGCCAATGGGGGTAACCATTTAGCACGCGCAAAACCGGCTTGAGGGCCTTTCCATCTTCTGCACCCTGAGGTGTCCCAACGGGTGCGGGGCAAGACGACCCCTAAGGCAGGAGGGAGTTTGGAGCGGTGGTGAGTTGTCTGGCGCATCACCAGCGACACGCTGACCCTTTCGCCCGGAACTTTATTGTTCCACCAGGATAAATCGCAACAACGAAAATAAACAAAAGTTGGCGAGGGATATCCCCTCCCTTCTATTCACCCCAACCTTCGACTGACCCTTAGTACGCGGGCACTTCAGGCCAAGCCAGCTCCACACGTAGGTAGTCATGCACTAGCACATATATATATATATGCACAAGGGGAATAATTATGTGACGATCACTTCTCACAGTCATAGTGGGTCTCCTCCTAGCCATATATATATGTGCGACCGCAGGGCGGCCGAACCAAAACCCCAAGTCCTTAAGCGTACATGCAATCACATCAAAAGTCAAACAAGAGTCCACCCACTACGTGGAGTTAACTCCAACCAGTTCCTATACTCATACCCCTCGCTTTAGCCATGCAAACCCCAACCTCCAGCCAACCAACCCCAATTAAATACTTTGTACCTTTGTTAAAAGACTATTCAATAAAAGTCCGAGTGAAACCCTTAACAAACAACAAGATCACCAGGGCTAAAGCCTTTTAGGTTGAGTGTGGGGAGCGAGTAGGAATTGAGTCGTGAGCGGACGAATCGGCAATCGACCTGTTATCAGTGATAACAGATGATGATCCTTGCAGGATCAAGCTGAACTAGCCCAAGTCCTGAGTCGAATGTCAAAGAAAGGCCTGTACCATAAGATAGGTCAATGCCCAAGCKAAATYATCAGCATATGGGGGATGACCCTCCATAGCGCATCCTCACCCAAGTTACCTACCAACTAAATCAGAGTCTACCCCTAAGCCAGTGCCCAAGCAAAGGTAGACTAACGGCAGGATCTCCCCTATTCAGGGTGGATTACCARAATTGCCATCTGTCAAAATATAATCTAAMTCCTCTAAATCAAGAAAATTTCGGCWGCGCTTCCCGTAGGAAAAGTGCCTTTTCAGAATTTATATCAGCCCGAATATGARAGCAGAGATAGTCTTTGACTTTCCAAAGTCCAATTTTGTGTAACTCCCTGAATTAGCAAAAATTTGGGCAGCACTCCCTTTAAAAAAACAGACTTTTCAGATTTTTACTAAGCCATACATGAACTTTAGACAGGTTGAACTTTGAAAAGTCAAGAATTGACTAACTCCCCGGATTTKTAGAAATTTCGGCAGCGCTTCYCGTAAAGAAARTGRCTTACCAAAAATTATASAAAGCCAAGTATAACAAMAGATCCCAAAAAATRCGAGAATCGATCTAAGTAAAAAACTTAGCTCAGAAAATGCAGGAATTGACTTAACTCCTATCGCTCTAGCAYAAGGCGAGCCTCTAAAGCAACTACCTGTCAACCTGACACTSAAACCAAGTAGTAGCCTCACTCAACCTCATGCAGGCCAAACCACAAAGGTAAGTACTCTYGCCACCCCAAGTCAATCCTTGCAAACAATAGTTCGTAACCTCTCWAYGSTTTATCCCCTTRTACCYAACTTACATAGGGCATAAAGTCAAGCCGTCCAATCTTATGGAACTTGCCTGACTCAGCCATKGAGTACACACGAACAGGTTGCACAACTACTTCTCTCTTCTTTTTGGGCATACGACYAGGCCGTTCATCTTAGAACAAGGCTTAGTCKCCCAGAACTGTTYAATATCAACCTTATATATACCTCTCTAAGCTTGGTGTTCAAAAGTTGGGCATAGGAYCRRGYYGTTCATCTTASAACAAGGCCCGGCCTGCCCAGGGTTACCTTCAATKATACTCTTAGTTATACTYTCTTCATTTTATGATAAGCTATAGCCGGGCCGTSCAATMTTATGGAACCCATGCCTGRCTAGCCTGTTCATACMTAGGATGKTATAAAATATAATCAAAATTTAGCCTTTTGGGTTCCAACATGTGCAAGGCATTGRGCCAGACCGTCCAATCTTATGGAACACATCTGGTCCTTTGCCAGGTTCGTTTCTCTCTGATCCACTGTGTGTGGCATGAGTCCAAGGTCGTCCAATCTTATGGACATGCCTTGCCCCCAGCGATAATTTTCCATTCAGAATAAAACAGGAAGGGGATGGGCCGTCCAATCTTATGGACTTGCTCAGACCTCCTCGCTCAGAAACAAATGAAACAGAATAAACCCCAACTAAACATGACAACCAAACCCTTCAATCTAATGGTACAGGCTCGGCCCCTGAAAAGTCAGCCACAGTCAAACTTTCACAATTCAAAGCAATCAGACTGTCCAATCTTATGGAACTGGTCTGACTCCCCATGCAATTCAAAAATAAACACAGCGGTCAGGCCGTCCAATCTTATGGAACTGATCTGACCCTATAGGACCCTGCCAACCTCAAGCAAACCACCTTTCACCCACCCTTCCCCCAGATGCAACCCCTTGTGTTCACAATCTGCCTTCAGGCAATCAACAAAAACGGAAACTGAGATTGCGCACACATTCTTTTACTTAATCTGAGTTGTGTCCTGCCAGTCAACGCAAAGCCAAAGTAGGGGTACATACAGTATACTCAGTCAACCATAGCAAGACGTACAAGTAGGGGTTATATCTGGGTATATATACAGGGGAAGCAATGGTTACCTTTCAATTCCCTGCCTCCAAAGCCTTGCCTAGGCTCCGACAGAGCTCCCGCAATCGGTGGGGCGAACCTCCCACAGAGGCCTTGGCGAGGATTACGGGTTGCAATTCCGCCTGCCGCCTTCCTCTCAGAACCAATGGACTAGACTTAGAGGAAAAGGGCAGAAGTAGAAAGGTTTAGCCTCTCAGATACAAGAATGGTGCACTCAGACTCGCGGGAGAGGGCCTTGATACCTTCGATCGCCTGAGGGCCCCACAATGGCGGCTAAATATGACAGCTTGGTCAAACCGGAGTCATACTGCGAAACTCAACTCTCCTGTCGAGCTCTCAATTCGCAGTGATAGCMCCCTCTCTCAAGCCCACTCGCAGCACCCAACAGTCGRCGGCAGTAGTAGCCTGTGCGCAGCGCACAGCCKCGGCCTGTGCTCARCCAGTCRTCARCCCAYAGTAGCGATCTATGCACAGTCARTTAGCCATAGCAGCAGCGCACARTYGAAGCGGCATCAGCCGTGCACAGCCAMCCGCAATTGTAGGCCCGCAGTGTGCG